CGGCTTCCAGCTACACTCAGTGGTTTGTTGTTTATAAGCTGGGTGAAGTACCGGCACAGACCTCGAAAGATTTCTTGCTTTCTATCAATTTTCATCTAGCCTTAATATCAAATTATGAAGTTTTAGGAACGTATCATTTATTTAAATAGTCAATATTTCATTCCAGGCTTTCCTCTTGTCGTTTTCGATCATTTTGGTAGGCCTGTCTTCGACGTTTTTTTTATCGCTTTGTCAGAGATATGAGCAGAGTGAAATTCCAGCAGAGGCCTCAAAGTTTTCTTATTTTCTACTAATTTTCATCTAGCATTTACCCCAAATTATAATGTTACGGAGGCGTATGATTTGTTTGGATTGTCATTTTTTCCTAAGATTTTTCTTAATTGTTTAATCATTTCCGATCAGCTGGGCATCGATGTTTTTGCGTTTGGATATCTCAGTGGTTGGTCAGGGTTATAAACAGGGTGAGAGCCGACCAAACCACGTATCTTCTTAAATCAAGTATATTTTGGGAACGTATCATTTATTTAATGGTCAATTTTTTCCAAGCTTTCTCTTCTTGTTACTTTGATCGGCTTATCTTCAACATTTGGCCAGTGATACGCTTTCGGTTCATGGTTATCTTGAATTTATTTAGAAATCGTGAGGTGCGGTCTGGTGTGATGTAGGTTTCAGAAAAACATTTTCTTTATCGTGCCAACGTTTCGATCTTTATTGAGATCATCTTCAGGGCATGGGATTTACAAACATCGTTTACATATAACAATTACATTTTGGATGTGGAAAAGTGAATTTATACAATATATTTTGCACTTTTCCAAAATGTAATTGTTATATGTAAACGATTGTAAATCCCAGGCCCTGAAGATGATCTCAATAAAGATCGAAACGTTGGCACGATAAAGAAAATGTTTTTCTGAAACCTACATCACACCAGACCGCATCTCACGATTTCTAAATAAATATCGATTAACGGTCACTAATCACCACTCACACACACACACGTTATCTTGAGTGGATGGTCAGGGCGAGACGCCGACACCGAGCCCCAAAAATTCTCAGTTTTTAACTAGCCTTTAGTTCAAATTATAAATCTTGATTGTAAACTTTTATCAATCTTCCTATGGAGTCTGTTAGTTTCTTATCATTTTGGTCTGTTTCGTTCTTTCCTTTTTGTACTGTTTCATGTTCCCAGGTATGTGCGTATTTGTCCACTTGATGTTATTTGTATATCTAAGTTTAATTACGGTTTTAAATTCAGAAAATGGATCGTTTGTAATGTTGAAAATGGGTAGAGAGGCAGAAAAATCGCCCAGAATCAATCGAACAGCCGAAACGTGTCTGGCATAGCTAGTGACGTATTATTTTTTAGGTTTTATTGGAAAACTATAAAATGCAAAGAGGGAAAAAGTTTTTCCACTTATATATAGAACTTATTCAACTACTTACAATGAAAAGAAAAGCCTTCAAAGCCAGAAAACGTCAACATCAATAATCTATATATTTATTCTAGACAAAAGTCATTGTATAAACATCCCTTGGCCATTAGTCAAATTATTTTAAAGACAGATAAATTCAAAATTTAATAAAAACAATAAAACTGGTGGGGGTCTCGGGGTATCGACGTTTGAGGGGGCGAGGGTGAGTATGATGAGGGTTAGTATGCCATGGGGGTGAGGTCGGGAGTGTTAATACTAGCAATTAGACCAGACGCCACAAGTGGGGAGAAGCATCTAACATTGTATCAACCGCAGACTTTCATCATCAAACCGACCCACGGTCAAACGGCATGTTAAGTTTCGCATGGTTAGGTGAAAAAGGTCGATGAACATTTGCGGTCTTGGACGTGGAGTTTTGTTCTCACCAGAAGGATATTAAAGATTAAATTAAACCAGAAACCTATTGAAGGCAAATTCACAGCGAGGGCAGGCGGACCAAACGTTCTATATATGTAGCGGTTTTATAAGTACGGATAAAAATTTAATACCGGCCAAAACATGATTCTGCTAGTTGTATTGAATTGCGTTACTGTGAGTTTTAAAGCCAAAAAACTAACCGCCAGCCCAAGGGGATTTTAAGAGCAGTGCAATTGTAATTCCATGCTATTTCATAATTCCGCAGCTTTCCAGGGAACAGAGGCACTACAATTCCGAAGCCACCCCTTATCCTCCTCCAATATTTATCAGCCTTTCTCAGCCGCATTTGAATATTCCAGGCTGTAAATATTATTAAGTAGCAGGTGAATCTACGACATTTGAAACAGCTGAGAAACACCATTACCACTGACTCATCATCATCATCTTACGTTATAAAAAATACGAACACTCTGGATCAAGGCTTGATCTTGAAGGAGAAGAAAGCAAATTTCGTTGCTAATACCAAACTTTCGACCTTTAAGGTCATCATCAGGACAAAACAACCTTAAATATGTCTACAGATTGACATATTTACGTTATTTTTTATTTTAATTTTTACAGGCGATCTCAAATTTCCTTGAAGACCGATTCAGAACCGACGTTGCCAAGCACTGTAACGACAAGAGTCCTCGGCAATAACTTAAATATGTCAATATGTAGACATATTTAAGGTTGGTTTGCCTTGATGATGACCTTAAAGGTGATGAATTCATCAATGATGAATAGGTCGAAAGCATGGCATTTGCAACTAAATTTCTGTTCTTCTTCTTAAAGGCTATACCTTGATCCATACTGTAAGTGAAAAAGTGGTCGTTACTCCTAATACGGAAGTTATTTCTGAATTAGTAAAGACATCAAAACCTAAAAATGGGTCATATTGTTCTACCCAATAATTATATCTCTTTTAGATATGTGACAAGTTTTTGTTTTCGATTCTTATTTTTCTCACATACAATGACACAAAATCTAAATCTTATTGACCCACGATGAAAGAAGAGAAATAACATTCGACTGTTAACAAATAAATGAATACGAATCTTCTTCGATTAAAATTATGGAAATTTAATGAAAGGAAATCGAGCAAGATTATCTAGATGTGACCAGATAATTGAGAAAAATAAAACAAAATATATTAATCAATTTTAGGGCGAACATACCGCCCACCAAACTTAGAATAATATTCTGCACCTGGAAAGTGACATCCCGATAAGAAGCGAGAGATCATTTTAGGCCAAACGATGCAAAATATGAAGCAAAACTTTAGGAAACGTGAAGATATTACATGAATCACATGCACAAACTAAAGTAAGCAAAAGGAGAGAAATTATATATATATATATATATAAAACCGACATGAGATTGTTTTGATCAAGGCAGCTATGGATCCTTCGACTGCATAAAGTAGTATATCCGTCTAAGTAAATGTGTCTATTAACATTTATTTGTTGGATTAAGGTCGATGCTTAATTATCATTACAATTCTTTTGATCAAGACAGCACTGGGTCCTTACATTATCAAGACAGCATTGGGTCCTTACATTATCAAGAAAGCATTGGGTCCTTACATTATCAAGACAGCATTGGGTTCTTACATTGTATAACATACCATTCCCTTGTACGTAAATGAATTTATTAGCATGTATGTGGGATTAAAAAGTCGATACTTAATTATGATACATAGGGAGCGAGTAGGCGAGCCAACCGATATAAATCGTATCGATCAGGTTAGCGTTGGGTTCCTACATCTTATATAGTTAGTAAAACGATGATTCCAATGTTAGTAAATGAATTTATTAGCATGATATTACGGAATCATTAGTTTAAGGCTTCCATCCAATGTGTTGAATATGTAGCTCGATCTTCTCCGATCATCTTGATCTACCTGTTCTCGTCGCTTTTATTTTTCAGATATCAAGAAAAAAACTCGAGGAGAATACGCAAGACAAGATGGCATTTATATATAAGGATTTTTGAACAATGTTGGCTATTTAATAAATTCACTATTTTTCGTGATCCGCTCGGCCAATTAATATCTTTCAATTTATTAAGGTTTTTAGTTTTTCTGAAAAATGGCAAAAAGGAGAGAAAATGCAAAAAGGTGGGGTTGAGATGGGAAGTTAGTGCCCGAGAGGATCGAAGACACGATAGCTCAAGTGGTAGAGGAGCGGCGTATCAAGCTTCTGACAACACCCTTGGTTCTGCCAACAGAGATTTTTTCTTTAATTATTCAGGATGTTGAAATTTTATCTGGGTCGGTGTTTTCTGTCAGATCTGTTTCAGCTTTTTGCCATCTTCACTGGAGACTTTATTTATATAAAAAGGGCACAATTGGAAAAAATAACGCACAGAACAACCACCGAAGATTATAATTATATATATATAAATAGTCATTTCGAGATGGTGAGTTGCGGTCTGGTGTGAAGTAGGTTTAGAAAAATAATTTTCTTCATCGTGCCAACGTTTCGATCTTTATTGAGATCATCTTCAGAGCTCGAAGTGACACAAAATATAAAACAATGGATTTTTTAAAAATCCATTCAGTCCCTTTTCAATCAGTTCTTTTTTTTTTAAACCCATAAACCATAAATAATACTATATTACAAATTATTATTCACTAGTTTCGTGGTCCGCTTGACTATGTCATATCTTACGATTAATTAAGGTTTTTAGTTGAGATAAAAAAGTTAATGGCACGAGCGGGTTTCGAACCCATGAAAAATGGCAAAAAGGAGGGAAAATTCAAAAGGTGGGGTTGAGATGGGAAGTTGGTATCCGAGTGGATGGAGGTAACGATAGCTCAAGTGGTAGAGTAGTAGAGAAGCGTATCAAGCCGAAGGTCGTGGGTTCGATTCCCGCTCGTGACACTGACTTTTTTATCTCAACTAAAAGCCTTAATTAATTGAAAGCTATTTAATATTGATGATCAAATATTTTAGTGTACGAAACGATTTGACGGCGAGTTTTGACCTTTTAAATTATAATATTACCTTATAAGTGATCGTGTTGGTCGTCGAAAACTTGTTTGTACTGTTTTTTGAATATATTACGAACTAGATTATTTATTTTTAAGATTAAAAAAAAACTTACTCATCGTAAAATTCCAAAGAAAGGCTGATGAGATCGTCAGGCGAATAGATAAGCCTGTCGAGCCCGACGCCGCGGCTTTCTGGGTCAAGGTGTTCGTCTGAAAAAGCAAACAGTTACGAAACATTTCTCTACCTGGTATACAAATTCATTAATGAAAGTTAACGAGCTTAAAAGGACTTAACGTGCAAGTCCGAAGAGAGGGACTCAAGGGTTTACAGACGATTCAAGCGAAGAAGAACCAGCCCGAAGAAGACGGCTTGATTTACATTTTAAGGCTGTGTAGTCGCCTTGAATTACACAGAGCTTTGACATCAAGATACTATTTCACATGTAAGCATTTCAACGAGGCTTTATTAGCTTCCGTATCTAATTCAGCTTTTATTTCCCCCCTTTTATGTCCCTTGAGTCTCCTCGTATTTCGAAAATTATTTTATATAGTCTGCTTTCACCCAACTTAAAGTTTAAGCCCCGAAACTGTTTTGTAAGGGAAAAAACTGCTTTATTTACCTCTATATGGATGATTTTTGTAGAAATCTCTTCGCCTTTGCATCTCGTTTCTGAACAAACCAGGAACGAGTTTGTACACGATATCCTGCAATGTTTTATCCAATCTGAAAAAAAATTTAGATTTAAAAAAAAATCCAAATCAATCCGTGCATCTTCGTACATTTCATACGAGATTCCAGTTTTTAATTAATGTAAAATCTAATATTCTTCGGTAGCATTGGGTCAAGTAATGGAGAGAGAGAGGCCCTCACGAAAACCGTCGCCTCGTTAGTCCTAACCCTCTTGAGGAGTGGAAAAAATAAATGTAAAATGTCGTTATCACAGCGTGAGCTGAGAGATGAAAACGAAGCATTACTCATAGGACAAGTCCCGAAGCTCAAAGCATCGAAAAACATTTCTTCCCAGCTCATTTCAAACTTGTGGCTTAATTTACTTAAGATTTTTTTTAATAATAACATATTCGCAAATAATGACAAACATAAAACAACTTCAATCTTCACTAAAAAAATTTCTAATGATGACCCTAGATCATTACAGATTCCATCACCAACAATTCGTAGATTGTTTAGATGAGTGAAAGCGTCGGATTGCTGGGAAATGAAATAACCGATGGTCTAGATACATAAACATCTAAAATAACAAATCACCTTCCAAACTGTCCAGTGCCTTCAGAAATGGGACTCAAATTCAGAAATGGGACTCAAATCGGCGGATTGGATAAGGTAGGATTGACCAGACTTTTCTCCATCCTTACATGAAGAATCAAGAACATCTTTAAACTGACAAGATAAAGGATGAATTAATCGTCAAGTTTGTTCCTGTGATGGCCGTTCGTCTCAAGCAGTCCATCATCGGCATGACTATGAACGACTATGTACAGACCGGAAGTCTAAACCCAAAATAATTTTCCTGACCTTTATTTTATAAGCGACAACCATACTGGAAGAAGGAAGAATCGCTCAACTATTTAACATCGACATTTTTGGACGGCAAACCTTTAACTTAACCTAACGACCAAAACAAATTGTATCTAACCAAAAAATTAAAAATCCAAGTTAAAAAAACACACATACGCCTCTCTCACTCATTAACAATGTCCTTTACACTCATTTACTACCACTTTTATTCTATATCTCGGTCTAGCATTATTCTCATTCTTTCTCACACTAAAATATCATAATGCCTTACTTAATACGCATACTTAGCTCATTAACACACTCAATGATTCACTCACTCTAGAAGTAATTTTGCTCTCTCTCTCTCTCTCTCTCTCTCTCTTTCTCCCTTCCTTCCCCTCTCACTCCCTTATCAATCTTCCGATATTATTCAATATTTCTACACCTCCAACAATTGGAGTCATTCATCTCTTCATCGTCAGTCATTCTCTCTTTTCTTATTACTCTCTCTCTATCCTACCTCTCTCTCCCTCTCTTCTCCTCTCTCTCTCTCTATCCTACTTCCATCTCCCTCTCTCTCTCTCTCTCTCTCTCTCTCTCTCTCTTTATATCTATCTTGCGATATGATTCAATATTTCTACCCCTCTAACTATTAGACTCACTCACTCTCTCTCCCCCTATTTTTCTTTCTTTCTCCCCTATTTTATTTTATCTCCCTCTCTGTTTCTTTCTCTCTCTCTCACTTCTTCTTTCCCTCTTTTTCTCTATTCTACCTCTCTCTCTCTTTATATCTATCTTCCGAAATCATTCAATATTTCTACTCCTCTAACTATTCGACTCACTCACTCTCTCTCTCCCTCTTTTCCTTTCACTCTCCCCTATTTTATTTTCTTTCCTCTCATTTTCTTTCTTTCTTTCTCTCTCTCTCTCTCTCTTTTCTTCTCTCTCTCTCTTTCTCTCTCTCTCTCTCTCTCTCTCTCTCTCCCTCTCTCTCTCTTTATATCTATTTTCCGCTATCATTCAATATTTCTACCCCTCTAACCATTAGACTCACTCACTCACCCCCTCTTTTTCTTTCTCTCCCCCCTACTTTTTCTCTCCCTCTCTTTTCCTTTATCTCTCTCTCTTACACTCTCTCTTTTCTTCTATCTCTCTTTCTCTCTATCCTATCTCTCCCTCCCTTCCCTTTTGTTTTTTCTCACTCTCCCCTACTCCATTTTCTCACCCTCTCTTTTTCTTTCTTTCTCTCTCACTCCTCGATCCCTCTCTTTTCTTCTTTCCCACCTTATTCTCTCTCTATCTCTATCTCTATCTTCCTCTCTTCCCCTCTCATTCTCTCTATCTATCCATCTCCCGATATCATTCAATGTTATATGTCAATATGATTATATTATTCCCCTATTAGACTCATTCACTCACTTTCTCTCCCTCTCTTTTTCTTTCTTTCTGTCTTTCTTCCTCTTCCTTTCTCTTTCTCTCTCTCTAAACGCTATTCTAAACCAATAATAATAACTTTTTTAATTTGAATACGACCGCAATAAAATATTTCTTTAAAGTATGTACTTACCTTAAGCTTAAATGTAATTTCGTGTTGTGCACCTGTACTTCACAAATAGGGCAGATGCTTTTCCTTTCCAACTGTCGGAAAATGCAGCTTCGGCAAACTGTAAAAGGGTAAAATAATTTTAAGTCCTCTTAAGTTTATAAAAGTGTATTAATTTTGATTCATTTTATATTGAATACAAATCTATGGGGGTTATGATTAAGTTCCGAATTTTTGAAAAGAACGGATGACTCAAAATTCTTAAAATTCTGCCGAGTTCCTTCGCTTCACTCTTCCCAGTAAAGTTGAAAAGCCCCAAGGTGATGGTTTTTTACTACTTTTAACTATTAAGAGTAAATAAACAGTTATGGGGTTAAATAAAGACAAAATTTCTATTAGCTCAAAACTTTTTTTAATTGAAATTATTTTTTCAAATAAAATTTTCGTTAGTATGTAAATTAATGCTCAATGGAATTAGTTATGATTCCTAGAATCCTAGTTTATTTAGTATATAATTATGAAAATTGGTAAATGGGCCACTTAGGAGATTAGATTATTACATTTCGGTGAAGAGATGAAGTAGAAATGTTGTTTGGGGTTGATATCATTTGTTAGGAGAACAAAGATCTGCCACGGACTTAGCACGAGAGGTGAGATAAGTGGTACATCGGGCTTATCTGACATAACTGGCACGCCATCCCGAATCAAGTCGAAAAGGGGAGGGGGGAAGTCCCTTGAAATACGGCCCGTGCTCGGAGGAAATGCGACTTTAAAGTCTACGGCCGTACATCCCGGAAAGAGACGGACGGGGGAGAAGGTGATTATGCTATGTATCAACTCGACGCGCACTTCCCCATTATGCACCGTCGGCCGTTTAAATTGCGATTCACCCGTCGTAAAAGGCAATTGTCGTAATTGTTAATAATTGTTGGTTTTCAACCGTAGCTGGCGATCAAAGGTTGACTGAATTTAAATTAACCAAAATAACTTGATCGATTGGCATAAATAAACGAAAAACTAATTTACGCATTAAACATAAATTAATTAAGGTAACTACAACTCCCCAATCATTTTTTTAAATTAAATCAATAGAAAATTATTACACCTCTATGAAATTAATTAAAATGATCAATAGTCATCTCTCCGAATTCCAGTGGTTTTATTGATTATATGATCCCCTAAATAAGCTTCAATGTATTGGAATAAACCTGGCTTAAAATGTCAGGGAAGTTTTTGTTTATACGATGAAAGAACATAAGAACATTCGGTTGTTAACGAATAAAAAATATAGGTTCGATTAAAATTATGTACATTTAATGGAAGCCAACAGGACTAGACAGCATAAATAAACAGTAGATGGCAAGAAAGATGATCGGACAGGATGATCAACATGTAATACGTGCAGGAGTACGGACAAAAATATTAAGAAAAATAAAACAAAATTAAGCTAAGCGATTCCGGCGCGAACATACCGCCCACCAAAAATTATAATAATTTTCTGCACCTGGAAAGGGACATCCCGATAAGAAGCGCGAGATTATTTTAGGTCAAAAGATCATTGTAGACATATTTAAGGTGGTTTGTCTTGATGATGACCTTAAAATAGGTTGAAAGCTTGGCACTAGCAACCAAATTCGCTTTCTTCTTCTTCAAGACCATACCTTGATCCAGACTGTTCGTAAGTGAAAAAGTGGTCAGTGTTCTTCATGAAACGCGCAGATATTACAAGAATCACATACACAAACTAAAGTAACAAAAAGGAGCGAGATTAAACAAAACCGAAATGACAATTGTTTTGGTCAAGAGAGCTATGAATCTTGTAGCATCCCCGTCTAAGTAAATGTATCTATTAGCATGAATTTGTTGGATTAAGGTCGATGCTTAATTATCATGACAATTGTTTTGATCAAGACAGCATTGGGTCCTTACATTAGCAAGACACCATTGGGTCCTTACATTATCAAGATAGCATTGGGTCCTTACATGATCAAGACAGCATTGGGTCCTTACATTATCAAGATAGCATTGGGTCCTTAATTTATCAAGACAGCATTGGGTCCTTACATTATCAAGAAAGCATTGGGTCCTTACATTATCAAGACAGCATTGGGTCCTTACATTATATAACATAGCATTCCTGTGTACGTAAATATATTTATTAGCGTGTATGTGGGATTAAAAAGTCGATACTTGATTATGATATATAGGGAGGGAATAGTTGGGCCATCCGTTATAAAAATCGTATCTATCAAGTTAGCGTTGGGTTCCTCCATTCTATAACGTAGGATCTGCCTATGAGTGAATGAATTTATCAGCATGATATGTAGGGAGCTACCCTACGTATATATAGGGAACTACGTAGAAATCTCCTGGGAGTAAATGTATTTATTAGCATGTGAGATTAAAACTCCGAAGCTTAATTATAATATAAAGGGAACGTGTAGGAGAGCAAACCTTTATGAGAATTATTTCGAACAAGACAACTTTGGGCCCTTCCATTGTATAAGGTATGATTCACCCATGAATAAATGTATTTATTAATTATTGCATTAGTTTTGATGCTTAATTACTCCATCAACCTTCACTTAAATTAGTTTATATACTTTGTAAGTTGAAAAAGGATGTATTATTAATTGATATTTTAGATTGTGTGAAGGTCAAAGAAGAACGTGTCAAGTTCGATGTGTCCTATAGTGGATCTATACAGGGAGCTTGTAGGCATACCAACTTATATCATTATGCTTTGCGCAACATTGATAATTTCCTGTTTTTCTAACTTTGAAAAACCTTTATATTTAGTGGTCTATTGACACCGGAGTCAGAGGTTTATTATCGTGTCCCGCAAAATAAAGTTCGATGTGTCCTATAGTGGATAAGTACAGGGAGCGTATAGGCGTCCCAAATGATATGATAATCCTTTAAGCAACATAACGAGTTTCCTGATTTTTCCTTACTTGTTCCAATCCTAGAAATGGATGTATGATTTTAAACGGTCCATGGTTAAGTATGTAGTATAGGGAGCGAGTAGGTGTCAACCACATTACAAGAAATGTTTTGACCAATATGGTTTCTTTTCTCTTTTTGTTCAGAAATAGAAATTTTTTATTGCATACAGTTTAATTTTGTCTTGTTTTAGTGAATATATTCTAAACGTGTTTTTCTCAAATTATACGAATCTGGGTGGTCGCAGATGTCAAAAGATCCTTCCAAACTTGTATAAAACTATTCCCCCTAGTAAAGAGTAAAATCGAAAACTGCGAATTAAAAGTTGTTGTATTTCTAAGCTTAGCTTAGTCTGAGCTTAACGAAGTCAGAAAGGCTTCATGATATTTTCTTCTATCCACAGCCGGAGTAAGTTCAGAAACTTTCGTGCAATACGTTTTAAAGCGTTTAAAAATTGGAATATTTACGAGCATCGAAGATGGTCGTTTCATAATAAATAAAAGGGATATTCACGATCTTTGTGTTAACCCTGTTAACTCTGTTAGGTCGAGAAAAATGTTGACGTAGACTTGCAAGAATCGGCTAGTTAACATTGCTCGATCTAACAGGCCAGGGGGTTAGATGTTAGGTCGAAAATGTAATCACGCTGCTATCCGTTAGGGCGCAAGTAACCAACATGGCAGCCATGAATTTAACAGCTGTTTTTTGTTCACACTATTTTTATTCTTAAATACGCATTAATTAAATCAGAACAATGCATTTCTTTTGTTAATTTCTGACCTGACCTCATACTCTCATTCATAATTGATACATCCACCTAACCTATAAAGTTTTAAGCTGTTAGAGGTTAGGATACAAGTTAGATACGCCGGAAGCGTATCATTTGTTAGTACTTTTTCAGTGCATAGCATTTTGAATGAAAGAGTTGATTAATTTTCCTTTTTTATTAACTTCTGGCATCTTACAATTTAATACAAACACAAAACCATAACAAACAACAAGCCTTCAAGAACTGTTATAGTTTTATTTTTGGTTCTACTAGAGCAGCATTGCGGAAAAATTAACATTTGACATGGTAAGAGAAGGGGTCGTCCACGATCTTACTGGACATTTCTCTATTCGAATTAACACGAGTTAACATCTTACAAACATCGTGAATACCCCTACTAAATGAACCGATATTTAATAAAAATAATTATATTGGATTAGTATAGTCTTAAACTTTGCAGGCTACTTTGTAAAAAAAGATGGAATAAATCCTTTTCTAAATTAATTCCCCTGATCCGGAATTAGAAAGATACTGGCCGTGAGATCCACATTAACCACGGTTAACTCGGGAGCCGCAGGTACCTGTCAAGACCGGTGGCACGTGGGCAACTCCCCTCTCTGCTATCCCAAACTAAAAAGAAACAAAAGGGAGAACTGTGGACCAGTCCGACCTTTCGAGTCATCAGCAGTTCATTTGATTCTGACGTGAAGACCGGAATGGTCAGAAGTGTTTTGTTCAATCTTAGTTCTATAACAATAGCGCTGGTATATTCACTGCCAAATTGAACAGTAAGGGTTAGGTTTTTTGCCGAGATTGACCATACTGCATAAAAACAAGAAAGCATTTATCAGACATGCGACGGCGAGGATTGACAATCTGTGAAAGCGAATTATTGAAATCCGGAACGAAAGCCCGGCTTTTACGATTGGCCATACTCTCTAAAGATTATGGATTAAGATTATATAAATATGTATAAAATATGAATACTGACTCACACGTCACACCCGATCCGACGTTGTTCAGACATGAATCTTTAACGAGGATTTATTTTATATTTTAACAATTTATCTAGTTTGTGCGGGGTAAAAGAGGTTTAAGTCGGGTGAAAAGTAACGCAAGCAGAGAAAGCTCGATGTGCCCTATATTAGATCTAATTGGGAGCGAGTGGGCGTACAGCCGCCCGATATGAAAATCGTTTTGATCATGATTGCGTTGGGGCCTTCTTTTCTATAAGTTATGATTCCATTATGAGTAAATGTACTTATTAGCATAAATACTATTTTAGAGGGTCGATGCTTAATTACATCACCTATAATTAGATGATATTTTGGAAAGGGAGCGACTGATATTAGTAGTTTGATCATCAGGTTAGGGCCTTCCATTGTTTACTATAAGGAATGAGTCTTACG